GCCCAGGGCTGCTCTCCAGGCTTCCGTCTGCTGGGTCCAAGTGGCCAGGAACTGGCCTGGCTACGTCCAGCCGGCCTCGGCCCGCCATTCCGTACGGTATCAGGAGAGGATGAAGGTGCACCGTCGAGAATTCACTGTTTCAGATGCAGTGGCTTACCCACATTCGTCTGTGGGAAGAAAAGCAACTAAGACTTTTTCTTGCATTAAAAGTTTAACTGCTGAAGCTGCTTCTGGTGCTTTGTTCTCTCCCAGGGCCTGCTCCCCACAGTGCCTGCTGGGGCACTGGCAAAGCATTTGGGGAGCCAAGATGCCAGCAGGGACAGATTGGTATGTGCCCAGTCATGCTCAACTCTGGCAGCTACTGCCTTCTCTTAATAGACGCCTGCAAACAGGGCTGATGACCCCCTTCCCTTGTGCCCAGTGGGGGCTGAGCAGTGGTTTATTTGAGAGGATGGGGTGAGGTTGGGAGAACCTCTGATGACAGAACTAGGCTACCTGCCCTGGGGTTGGGAAGAAGGTACCTGCTTTGTATGATCACAGCATCTCCTACAACCTGGGCCCCGCCCTTGACATGGACAGACAGGTGGGTGCCCATGGGCTCTGGGCCCCTCCCTTGACATGGACAGACAGGTGGGCACCCATGGGGCTCTGGGCACTGGGAGGGGTCAAGTAGACGGGTTGACTGGACTTCGTGCTAGGCCCAGGGGGGTTTAGATTCAGTGAAGCTGGTATTCAGACCAGTGACAAAAATACAATTACTAAGGGTGGGGCCAGCCATGTCACAGATGGGGGCAGGGAGCTGCTTGTACCAGCAGAGGGAAGGAGACAAATTGGGAGCTGATGCACCATGGAAGGGTTTAGACTTGTGTAATCGGTGGAGCGAGCTCCAGGCACACTTGTGGCAAAAGACAGTAAATGAACAGGTGCCCGTGACCCTGACAGCCAGGTTGTGTGTGTCAGCCCACCTGGCAGCCCTCTAGGCACCACTCAGAGAGTTTGCCTTGTACAGGTTTTACCTTGACCCTCATAATGGGGAGATGTTTTCCCCAATTTCATAGCCGAGAACCTGAGACAGGAGGGCAGCTGTACAAGACGAGATTCGAACCTTGTCTGCCTGACTCCAGGATGTGAGCCCCACAAGTCTCTAATCCAAAGTACCCTTTCAAAGGAAAAAACCAAGTTTACAGCTCAACTCCCCCCATCCCCAATTCTACAGCTATAAACTCAGATTTGAGGAACCCACATGGAAGATTAAAAAGATCAAATGTGCCTAGCTGGCATGGCTGTGGTTGAGTATTGACCCATGATCCAGGAGATCGAGGTTCAATTCCTGGTCAGGGCACATGCCCGGGTTGTGGGTTCAACTCCCAGCAGGGGGCATGCAGGAGGCAGCCAATCAATGACTCTCCTCATTGATGTTTCTCTCTCTCTCTGAAGTCAATAAAAATGTATTTTTAAAAAATTAAATTCTATCACTGCAGCCTGGGGCCCTGAAGGCTTGGCACAGCGCCTCAATTTCCAGGGTCACCCAGGAGGTGCAGAATGCTCATTCAAGCTGATGGAACACAAAACACAGAATTTAGAGTTCTCATGGAGCGTGAGAGCAGCACTGCCTGGCTGCTCTGCCCCTTCACTGAGCCCACTGCTCGGGGCTTCCCTGTCTGTCCCACCCTCAGCACCCTCTTCCAGCGTGGAGTGGCAGGTTGAACCCCCTAAGGCTGCGCCAGGGAATGGTGGCTGATCTGAGACTTGAAAGAGGGCCAGGGGCAGGTGGCTGCACCCCTGCTGGCCTGGAGTTCAGGCCCCTGGTTTGAGTTTTACAGGTTGGGGGTCTTCTCAGGCTGTGATCAGAGTTCAGGGAGGGCCAGGGTGTGTGAACAAAGGTGTGGCCACCCCCCAGAGAGCAGCATCTGCCCCTTGCCTTGTCCCCAGCTCCCTAGCTGGCCAGGATCCTGGGTGAAAGGGCCCCCTTCAGACGCCGGCCAGGCACAGGAGAGCTGATTCCACCCTCACCCAGAGCTCCTGCAGTAAGAGGCCTTTAGGGCCATCCGCCCACCTGGCACGTCAGAGCCCAGGACCCAGGAAGCAGCGGGGTGCACCCAGGGCTCCAGGCCCCCACACGGCAGCCCTGTTTTATTGCAGAGGTTCCATGTGAGATATCATCAAAACAAACACTTCTGCTCCTTAGTAACTGTTACTATGAATCTGACCCCTTGTCCTGTTCTCTCAAAGAGGTAGTCATAGAACTTGCCCCAGTCCACCAGGCTGTGACAGGGTTAGGATACCCAGCCACCAGTCTCCATTCAAAGTACACAGAGGGCAGGCCTCAGGCAGACAGGCAGGGGTTCGCATCTCAGTGCTGCTCACTGCGACTGCCGACTTCTCCCCTCCTGAGTCTGTTTCCTCCATTGCCAAATGCAAACAGGAACTCCTGCTTCGTAGAGGCAGGGCCCCTAGGGTGGCCGCCTTTGCTGAGCACCCAATGCAGTTGGTCAGGGTAGGGGTAAGAGTCAGTGTGGGGAGCCCAGCACCCCACCCAACTCCCAGAACAAAGCAGGTAGGACCCACCCTTCCCTAAAGCAGCTCACAGACTCCGTGGCGCCCATCAGCCAGAGGGGTGGTGGCCAAGGGGGCTCAAGCCTGGCTTCCTGTGCACCCAGAGGGATTTCTAATTATAAAACCACATGGGCTGCAGCCTCTGTGGGCGTGGGAGCCCCTATGGTGTGTTGTTGGAGCATCACAGAGAAGGTTTTTGGAAGAAAAGCCAGGATGATGCAATCACCATATGTCCACCCATTTGGAGCTCTGGACTTGTCAAAGGACACACCCATGGTGTGC